ACTTTTCTCACTGACAGTACAATCACGATAGCTTCTTAAATCTACATTTTTCATTTAAACCAACGAAAAACCATTTGCGTTCTAAAGCATACATTTCCATATAAAGACTCAAAGACAAGATCATTAAATTTCTAAGACATATTAATTGATTGCATTTTTATTATTAATGGTGTTTTCTACTAGTAGAATTTAATTTTCTCCATATTTTACATCCACAGCTAACCTTTCGTACTATTCTCCTAAAGTCTGCATTCCATATAGGCCAGTATCTACATTGTAATGCTTGTACACCAAGAATATTAGACATCATGGCATACTCTTTTCGCTCCTTACTGTTGATCAAAATAATACCCTGCTCAAATGCTCAAAAAACAAAAATCACTCTAGTGATTCCTCATAATATTGTTCTCATCTCACTTTTTTGGGGGCGGGGGGTGGGGCTTGAAATGCTCTTCCATTCATCTCAGTAGGTCCATTCCCATTTATACATCAAGGAGACGATTCAAATGTCAACTCCACAAATTATTCTCATCTCTCTAGCCTCAGTCAATATTCTCTTCCTTTAAAGTCCCAAATTAACTTACAGCAGTTACAGCAGTTAACTCTGTCTCTCTGGTTTCACCGAAATTTATGTAGGTCCCTTGGCTCCTTTATAAGACTAGAAGTTCCTAGAGTATGGTATCCGTATCTGATACCAGACTGGCTATCTTTCCTCTTTAAACAGCTTTGCTGAGATAGAATTTATAGACCATAAATTTCACCCACTGTCTGTATATAGTGTGTGTGATTTTTAATAAATTTATAGAGTTTGACAACCATCATCGCAATTCAGTTTTACAACTTTTCCATCACCCCCTAAAGTTCCCTCATGTCCATTTACAGTTAACCAGGCTCCAGTCAACCACCAATCTGTTTGTCTCTATATATTTGCCTCTTCTAGACATTTCATATGAAGAGAATTATACAGTATGTAGTCTTTGGGATCTGGTTTCTCTCAATTAGCATACTATTTTTTGAGGTTCATCCATGTCGTAGATGAATCGGTAATTTGTGTCTTTTTATTGCTTTATCCATTCGACAGTTGATAAGCATTGTTTGCAGTTTGGGGCTGTTATGAATACTACTGCTATGAAATCTGCATCCAAGTCTTTTGTGGACATGTTTTATTTCTCTGGGGTAGATTCCTGAGAGTCAAATTGTTGGGTTCCTATTATAAATGAATGTTTAATTAAACAAACAAACAAACAAAGAACACCTGCCTATTTCCCAAAGTGGTCACATCATTTTACATGCTCACCAGCAATTGTGTGAGGATTCCAGTATCTCCACATTCTTCCCGTATTTTTTTTTTTATTGTCACTCCATGGGGTGTGGAATAGTATCTCATGTGACTTTAATTACCATCTTCCTAATGACTAGTGATGAGAAATTTTTAATGTTTATTATTCACTTCTTTGGTAAAGTATTTATTCAAATCTTTTGCCCACTTTTTAATTGAATAATTTCTTTTTCTTGAGTTGTAAGAACTTTAAATATTCCAGATACAAATCCTTTACCAGATATAAAACTTGCAAATATTTTCTTCCACACTGTGCCTTGATTTTCATTTTCTTAATGATATCTTTTAAAAAGCAAATATTTCTAATTTTGAGGAGGTCCAATTTATCAATTTTTTCTTTTGTGGATTGTGCTTTTGATGTCAAAGAAGTCTTTGCCTAACCTAACCTGACAAAAATTGTCTCTTGCAGTTTTAGTTTTATAGCTTTAGCTGTTACATTTATGCCTATGTGCCATTTGGAGTTAATTTTTGTGTATTGCGTGAAAAATCAAGTTCATGGTCTTTTTTCATACTGATGTCCAATTTTCCCACCATTATTGTTGAAAAGACTATCTTTTGCCCTGATAACTTTATTGAAAATCAACTGACCATGTAAGGGCTTATTTAAATTCCATTCATTGATCTCTATGCCTACTCTTATTCCAATAACACACGGTCTTGATTATTTTAACTTTATATTACAATTTGAAATTGGGTAGTGTAATTCCTCCAATTTTCTTCTTTTTCAAAAGTGTTTTGGCTATTATAGATATTTTATTCTACAAGGACCAGCTTGTCAATTACTATATATATATAAAAAAAAAGCCTGCTAAGATTTTGAGAGATTGTGTCAAATCCACAGATCAGTTTGAAAACTGCCATCTTATTATTGCATCTTCCAGTGCACAAACATGGAATTTCAATTTCTCTCAGCCATTTTGAGTAGTTTTCAGTGTACTTCTTTTGTTACATTTATTCCTAAGTATTTTATTCTTTGTGCTGCTACTCGGAATGAAATTGTCCCCTTAATGCCATTTTTGGACTATTAATTTGTAGCATATAGAAATGCTTTTTAAAAATCTTGATCTTGCATCCTGAGATTGTGCTAAACTCATTTATTAACTTTAGTAGTGCTTATTTTTGTGTGATTTAAGATTTTTTACATACAGGATCAGGTCATCTGTGAATAAAGACAATTTTACTTCTTCCTGTTCAAATTGATGCTTTTTCTTTATTTTTCTTCTTTTACTGCACTGGCTGAAACTTCCAGTAAAATTTTGAAGAGACTGTGAGAACAGACATCCTTGCCTTGTTCTTGATCTTGAGGTGAAAACGATTAGTGTTTTATGGTTAAGGATGACATTAACTGTATTTTTTTTTTTTAAATAGATACTCTTTATTAGGTTGAGGAAGTTTCCTTCTAATCTTTTTTTTTGAATTTTTATCATAAATGTGTTGGATATTGTGAAATGCTTTTCTGTATCTATTGAGATGGGATGTAGCTTTTGTCCTTTTGTCTACTGATATAGTATTTTACGTGGAGTTTTAAAAAAGGTAAAACCAACCTTGCATCTATGGTATATAATCCCTCTTAGGTATTGTTGGATTTGGTTTGCTAACACTTCATTGGGAATTTTGTATGTTCATTATGGATGTTGATTTGCAGCTTTCTTTTCTTGTAATGTCTTTATCTGAATTTGGTATAAGGGTAATAAACATCTTTACAGAATTAGTTATTTCCTCTATTTCAGAAAGAACTTGTGTATGATTGTATCAATTCTTAAATATTTGATTGAATTCACCAGTGAATCCATCTGCCCTGGGTTTTTCTTTGTGGTACTATTCAACCTGTTATGGTTGAATTGTCACCCAAAAGAATATGTTGAGGTCCTAATCCCCAAGAACTCTGAATGTGTTCACATTTGGAAACAGGGTCATTTCAGATGTCATTAGTTAAAATGAGGTCACATTGGAGTAGGCTGGGCCCCTATGTACTTTTAGGAATTATCTTACAAGATAACGTAATAGTTGCATAACTTTTATGTTAAAAAAACTTATGGCACTGATTCTTTTTTAAGCCTTGTTTTAGTGATAGGATGCTGCTGACTGCCTCATACATTAAGATACACAATTATTATTCAAGTGGTAACATGCTGATTTTAGTAGGAACTTAAAAAATTCCTGTCTGCTCAATAAGTTATATAGGACAAGATTATTGTTTTAAAAGATCTTCTCAATGTCTATGAATTTTTTCACTAATATTTGAAATTGAATATAATTGTCTAAGTATATTCGTAACTCTTACATATAACATTTTAATGATTACTGTATTGAGACTTCTTGATTTGTGGCTCCCTTAAAATCACCTCCATATTTGATCTATTAAGGACAAGAAAAATGATGCGATTATAGAAAGGTGTAAAGAGTGTGAATAGAAGATAGAATTAGTATTAACTGAATCAATGCATATGATTAGTATTAATTGAATCAATGAATCAGAAGGATAAATGAGGACCGCTTCTTTTTAGAAATTACATTAATTTTTTTCTAGGGAAATACATAAACTTTATAGGCAATGCATCTTTTTCCCCTCCTGTTCAATTGACTTTCTATTTCCCGGAATGATGTTTCTCACTGTCAGCCAAGCTCCCTGATTAGTACATTGTTTTTAGATGAGATAACTTGTAAGGAAAGCTCAAGGAGCATATACTAGCAAATTGCTAAGAATCTTCTTTACCACCTGAAAGTCTTTTATATATCTTGTACATAGGCCAATTTTCATTTAAATTTCAAACTCCAAAATAAAATTTCCATGAAGAGGTCCTGCAATAACAAAAGATAATCAAAACTCTTTCGATTTAGGCAGTTTTTAAGTAGACTAAGGTAATCCACCTGCCACAATACAGAGCCGATCAAAACCACCAGCATTTGGATCTCTCCTTGGAAAAGACGTATCTTCTTCCTAGTTATTAGAAGTTCCGTACCAAATTGTAAGAGAGTTTTCTCATATTGTATGAATACAGCATTATAGAATTTAACCTAATTCCTACAATTGAATATAAACCTTGTTCCAGAGTAGAAGCAGAACCCATCATTAAAATTGCATCCAATGACACATGAACTGAAATACTTAACACTCAAAGCCCTTAAAAATGGGCAAACAAACTAAGAAACGCAGTCTCAGACCTAAGCTTTGGGGAGTGAAAAGTACACTCATGACCTTGCTCTGCTGGCCTACTTTGTAACCGTGGGTTCTGCCCTGGGACAGGCAGCTCTCACGCTGTCTGCGCCTAACTCATGAAGGTGCAAGTTTCCATCTCTCACACCATCCAGTTCAAAATCAGCATCTGACGCCTCCACGCAGCAGGTGAGCAGCTTGCAGCAGGGCTGGGGCCCGGAAAGATAGTTCCACAGCCGTGACGCGACCCACGTGCTGCTTCGCCCCACGACTGCCTCGAACGCAGGCCAGTCGCCTGCTTCACGCGTGGTAGAGGACAACAGTTAAGTATGGCAGGGAGGACTCCTACTCTCCACGTCTCATCCGGCGATTGCAGGATGCGTCCACACCTTGCCCTGGGGGCCACCCCGCTGCCACCGCCGCCACACGCGGCTTTCGAGTCCAGCCCTCCCCGAACTGAGCGTGCGTCGCGGCCGCCTAGCCGCTTTACGGCCCTCCTCGCCCCACCTCGCCCCGGCCGCGCGAGTCGCATCGCCAGGTCGCCCATGCTCTTCCCGACACCGGGCGCCCGGCACCCGGCGGGCCGCGGGGACTGTGAGCGTCCGGGATCGGTGCCCGTGCGTGGTGACGCACGTCCGCGCGCCGAGACGTGAGGACGCAGGGGGCTGGAGAGAGCGTGAGTCTCTGCGTCGGTTTGGGCTCGCTGGCGCCGTCGGCTTCTGCGCGGGGTCTTTTCCCTTTTCCGAGGGTCGCGGTGCCAGGGGCGGGGCGGGGGCTGCGGGGCGGCTGTCAGTGTCGCCCGTGGGGCGGGGACAGGGTAGGGGTTGGAGGCAGTGGCTTCCGCAACCTAGGCACCCTCGGTGGGTACGAGAGTGGCGTGGGCGTTTCCTGGCGCGACGCTGCCGGGGTCGTCTCTACTCCCCCATCTGGGCGACTTTAGGTTTTCGGAGGGTGGCGTTTGCTCTGTGCTTGTTAAAGGATTGCTTTTGAAAGCCGGAAGTTGAAAGTTGAAAGTGATGTTGCGTCAGCAGCAGCTTGCAGTTTCAAGTGCTCTTAGAACAGTAACTTTATGTTCCCCGAACAAGTGTGGCAAACGCTACCGTAACCCGAGTAGTGGTATTTCTCTAAACAGGAGGTAGGAAACTCATTTAAGCGAATTTAACCCTTTTCTGCCCAGACCTTTAAAACCTCCAAAACGGATCACCTGCTTGCTTTTCCATACCTACCCTTTCGAAGAGTCGGGCTGCTATCAAAATGAATTATTGTTTAGTCTGGATTGAGTCATCTATATGTGTAGGTCCCTTTGCCGTACACTCAGTGACAGCTAGATTTTCTTCCTCCTCGCATTTTTTTTTAATTCTTTGGAATTGCTTTTTAAAAGTCTAAAGTCTCACATTTATGTCTTTTTTTCTTTCTTTTTTTTTTTTGCTGGTTCTTATAAACTAAAGACATTTAATTTGCTGCTGGTGTGGTTGGGCTTGGGAAAGAGGTAATGTTAGGAAGAATAGCAGTTCGTTGGGTCCCTAAATTTTCCAAGGACTACTGGCATCAGCATCACCTGGGAACTTCTTGGAAATGCAAATTTTGGTCTCTTACCCCAGACTTACTGAATCAGAAATCTGTTTTATTTTAACAAGCCTTCCAGTGGATCCTAGTTGATCCAGTGCACCTAGGTGCTAAAGCTTGGGAATTACTGGCGCAGTGATAAAGAACAGACATTTGGTAGTCACAGAATGGAATTGATGGAATGAAGAAGGTAGGGTGAATAACTGGCCTTAGCCTTAGAGCTGAACCGTATTATGGAGCAGTGACTTGCAAGCATGTGACAGGACTGAAGATATTTCTATCCTTATCTTTCTTTCCCATATGTCACAGCTCCATGATAGCAGAGAGGCCCTCATCCTATCCATCCCCCATACCTACGGATTCTGGACCCAACACAAGAGTTAGGTTAGATATGCCTGCCACCTGCTGTTTTTTCAGATCATCAGTTTACTCAAAACTTTTCCCTTCCTTTTTCAGGGGGCCAGTGTGGGGGGAGAAAGAAAGATTCAGGACTCGAAGCAGCTGCCCCAAAGCCTAGACTCATTCTGATGTTGAGAAGGGTCAATGCTGCCCTGGTCCAAACCACAGAATTCGATTATAGAGCACAGTGCACACAAGGCGACACCATGGCTCCTGGATATTGTGGGTGAGAGAGTTTTCAGATACACACGAGTCACTTTGGATATCAGCTTCTAGAAATAATGTTGGTAATGGTACCACTAAATTAACCCTGTCCCATCATGAAGCATGCATTGGTCAAAGGCCCCATTTTTCTTGTTCTTTCAGAGATCTCTAGCAGTGGTTTGGGGTCAGGCAGACCCTGCTTTGAACCCGGCCTCTGCTATGTACTGATTGTGTCCATTAGACAAGTTAACATCCTCCCAACCTTAATTTCCTCTGCTATAGAGTTGGAATTATGATGTGTTACTATGCAGCACATCGAATAAAGTGAAATAAAGTGCAAACTATGCCCACTGTGTGTGAGGCATAGACGTTCAAATGACTGTGCATGTTGGACAGGGGGAAAGATGGGTAGTTGCCACCTCAAAACTAATTTTATCTTATTCATTTCCTCGTTGTCATGAATGAGGTAGTTTTATTATTGCCTAACTGCGTGGCTTTGCTTTTTAAATACCTCAAAACTAATTTTATCTTATTCATTTCCTCGTCATGAATGAGGTAGTTTTATTATTGCCTAACTGTGTGGCTTTGCTTTTTAAACGATCCAAGATGTTGAAGCGAAGTCAAAGCTTTCGCATTATTGTGAATGAGAGAAAGCAGACACTTGGAGAAAGTTAAAACTGTAAACCTGGTAGAAAACACTATTTTCAGTTTTATTACTGTAACAGAGCAACTTCCATGAGTTTTTGAGGTGCTTATTGGAAGGCCAAGGTCAGGGGGTGATTAAATATCTTAGGTAATGAGGCAGTCAGTTACTGAAGGGGACGTTATAGGAGATGAGCCCTCCGTAAAAACGTGCACCAAAGTATAAGAAAATACTGTTAGCTCTGAAATACAGTTATTTTTCACCATGGATGGTTAATGATAACTGAAAATTTTTATGTCTCATTTTTTTTAAAGTGATAAAAATTCCTATGTATTTTTGTGTATATAGATTACATATGAACAGGAGCATGGAACATCCTTGAAAGGAGTCATACTAGGTCATAATTTTGTAACATGCAGATGAGGATAAATAATCTGTATATATATGTAAAGTTAGATATGTGCGTATACATATAAACTTTTTTTTCAAAACTTTAAAAATATAAAAATGTTTTAAAAAGATAGATTCCTGTTATGCTGCATTGATAGTCATCTAAGCAGGGGACCTCATATTTTTAACAGGGAACCCTGTTTAGCAGAATCTTCCCTGTAGCGCTGAGAGGCTTTAAGACGGAGGCAGAAGGGCTCATCCTGAACCTCTTGTAGTGACACTCAGAGGCATGTCCCTGGAACCTTGGAGTCCAAGACATTGGGTATGAAACTGTTCAGCTGAAGGATAGGATGACCTAAAAAAGTCAGGGCATTATGAATTCTTGTGAGTAGGGAGTCACAAACTTGTTCCGGAGACGACACCTGAGGTTTTCAGCATTGTCAAACATGTAGTATAGCTTCTCAAGCAGAGGAGCGAGTGATTATTAAAAAAAAAAAAAAAAAAAAATCCAGCCTTCAGTCTGACCCATATTTTACAAAAATAGGTATTTATGCACATTTTTTTGAGAGATCATCCAACCTTTTTCAAAAAATTTCTCCAAGCTGTGACAGCTGTATCACTTAAAGCTATTTAATATTTTAACTGGCTGTTGTTTAGCATTACAAATGACTCAAGCAAAAAGGAGCAAGGAGTCAATGGAAATACTTTACTTGTATTTACTGTCCTCATTTTTTTGTTGTATGAAAGCAGCTGGTTTGCATTTATATGGTAAAGGATTTTTCGTAAAAGAGTTAATTTTTGGTTAATAGTAAGCTTTCATAAAAATAATTTTGAATGCTAAGTATTTGTTAGACTGTTATTAATAGCAGTAATAGTATCGCATTGTCTTTTCACACTTCAAGGAGGGTTTCCCGGTGACAGCTGGAGTGTGGGGGAGGGGAGGCACTTTCAATCAACCAGCTGCTCTGTGCAACATCAAGATCGTGATTTCAAAGCCTGTGGATAATTTTGGCTGTATTCAGAGAAGAAAATGTATCAAATTTCTGGGAAGCAATAGAGAGTGTGTAGGAGCCCTTTGGGATTTAGATGATAGCCAACTAACAACATGTGCATTCAGGTTTGCATGTTGGTGTTATTTACCATCTAGTTTCCTGGCCATTGTTACATGCACATCGTAATTATAAAACAATAAAGCCTATTTCTGTGGGGGGAAAATGCTCATTACTTTATGGAGCGAAAGGGCGAATAGGAAACAAACTTTAGGGGTGTGCTACGTATAGGGGTGTGCTTTCATATATTTCATTTATTCTTCACAATGACTCTAGGAAGTTTGTGAAGTTTTCCTCGGCTATGGATAAAGGAGGTCAGCAGGATTGAGTAATATGATTTGCCTGAGGCCACGTACCAGTCAGCAGTGGCATCCAGATTTGATGGTAAATCTGGCTTCAGCTTAAGGAATGTTGTCATTGCAACGGCAGCTGTTTCTCCATGGTGTTAACTTGCTTATGCATTTTTAATTCAAAGTCACAACATCATGATAGTCATGAATGAAATTTATATACATATTATAATGACTTCAGATTTATATAAATGCTATATAGGGGAGTGTGTGTTTTGGCAGCCACTTCTAATTTTGGACTTTTTATTGAAAGTCTCTAGGGCAACACTGTGAAAGAAATTTTGCTACATTTTTCATGTTACATATACCAGCAACTTGCAGTTATGTGTGTTGTAATAAATCAGTTGTGATTCTAACTTGGAACAAATGTGGGAATAAATACTGTGCACAGTGCACATGTAGTAGAAGCCTCCTTCATACCAAAGTCATGAAGATTTCCTCCTCTCTCTTGGGGTGTGTTAATTTTGTAGTAATCAGGAACCTTATAGATTCCTGAATTTCCAGCTTGTAGCTGTTATGTCCACCAAGTAATGGCTTAAAACAAATCCTTTTATTATCGCGAGATGGCTCCACCG